GGAGAAGCTGACGTATTTCATTAGCCCGTAAACTTTTCCTGCGCCATGCGGTTAGTCCCAGGAGCTCTTTCAAGAAACTTAGCATGCCAACTAGCATAAGTTCCTGTTAGTACCCATGATAGCCCACATTCAATTCTGTTTCACTTTCAGGTTTTGACACACTGTCCCTCCCTCCCTCCCTCCCTCCCTCCCTCCCTCCCTCCCTCCCTCCCTCCCTCCCTCCCTCCCTCTTGCTGACTCGCTGCTCCTCTTTCAATCTTTTCAGGTCGCTGCTGTCGCTCTGGATCCAGATCTCCTCCGCCAGTACATGAAATCAATCGTTAGCAATCTCCTGGTGTGGTCAAGCGACAGGTTCGATCTTTCTTCTCCATCTGCCTGTGCTTGGCCCTGATGGTCTCGCAGTCGGAATCGCTTCAGGCTCAAAGTCAAGGTCATTCTCGAGAGGCTCGTTAGGAGAACGTCGTATGAGGAGGTGATGGAGACACGCACGAGAGCGAGCAGGAGGAGGATCAGAAAGAGGACGAGGAGGAAGAGGAAGAGGAGGAGGATCAAAGAAGGAGGGATACTCACGACGTGGCAGGTGCTTCAGGCAACGCCAGAGGAACACAAGAAGCTGATCATCGCGGTTAATAAGCGACTGAAACGAGCGAAGAAGAGTAAAGCGAAACGCGAGGAGGAGGAGGAAGAGACACAGGAGCCATCGAGGATGCGGCTGAAGGGAGGATACGAAGCTGGTAAAAGAGAGAGAAGCGAGAAGGAAGTGCTGATGCCTTGGTCGCAGCCTTGTATGGAGATGAAGATGAGGAGGAGGAGGACGAGGAAGAGGAGGACGAGGGAATGGAGGATTTGCCAAAAGGACGAGCCCCGGCGGGGATGCGCAGGAGCGTCGACGGGCGGTCACGCCAGCAAGACGGCTCCTCTTCCTCCGCCCCCACAACCGCTGCTGCTAGAACCAAGTTCGGGTTCCCTGCGAACAACGTCGGCAAGCCCATCATCGTAGATGAGGAGGAGGAGAAGGTCGCCGGGAAGAAGCGGAGGAGGATGGTGAGGCGAGGCGAAGACCTGTGCTGGTTCCTGAGAGACGACGCAGGAAGAGGAGGCAGAAGAGTTTCTGGCGCCCATGAAGGAGGAAGAGAAGGAGAGAAAAGAAGTCGCTGCGGTCCTCAAGAACTCGAGTCACGCCAATGCAATGGCACTTGCTGAGGTTGAGAAGAGGAGGATGTGGGGGTGTGGGAGGAGGAGGAGGAGGAGGAGGAGGAGGAGGTGGTGGTGGTGGTGGTGGTGGTGGTGGTGGTGCGAATTTGAAGTTTCTTGCCGCAGCAAGCAGAAGAGGCCCTCAATGCTCGTCCAGCTCGCAGCTGGGATCAGACGGGAAGCAAGCGAAGGAAGAGGATCCAGCCGGAGTCAAAGGCAGGAGGAGAAAGAAGGAGGAGGGTCGAGTGACTGCTGGGGCAGGTGCTGGGCGGGCAGGAGTATCGGCCAAAGAAGGGAAAGACAGGAGGAGACGTGAAGAAGGCGGGGAGACCCGACCCCTTCGCTTACGTTCCATTTGACAAGCGTCAGCTGAACCAGAAAAAGAGGCATCGTCCTGTCAAGAAGCTGTCCCAGGTTCTCTCCCTCTCCCTCCTCTTGCTCGCCTGACCTTGTTCAAGGTTTTCAACGCCACAAAAGAGGCGAGAGGAAAGAAATGATGCGATTGGCCACCCTAGATTACAAGAAACACACTTTGTCTCCTCCCTCTCCTCTCCGTCCTCCTACTCTTCTGCAAGGTTTCCCTCCTCCCTCGCTTCTAGCGAGTGATAGGCATTTCGCTCCTCCCCGTTTCGCCTCCTCCTGTACAATCTCACTGCCAGCAGCAAGCATGTTGCGAGAAGGCAGGCAGCGAGACAGGTGAGCAGCCCCGAGCCATCGCCGCGTCTCCTTCCTCCTACCGCTAGCGCAGGGTCACGAGACTTTCCCCTCTCCTCCTCCTCACCTCTTGTCGTCGTTTCCAGCAGCCTCGTGCTGAGAGCTCTTCCTACCAGCTCAGCTATGGTGTTGCTGAGAGCTCTTCCTACCAACCCGCTCGCGTTGGTCTCCTGAGCTCGCATCCAGGAGGGCGGAGGGAAGCTGCAGGAGGCAGTTGAGATACGAGCACTGGAGAAGGAGGAGGCAGAAGGTGGGGAGGAGGGGGCGGAGGAGGACTCACCCGACAATGGAGGTCACGGGCGTGTCCATGCTCACCATCAACTTCTTACGAGCAGGCGGTGACCCGAACTCGACAGGGAGAAGGAAGGAGATGGAGCTGAAGCCTGCTCCTCCTTCCCTGCCCTCACCCTCCTGCTCGTCTCCCGGAGACACCTGGATGGCATATCCTTCCCCGGTGTCGCTCGTAAGAGCAAAGGAATCGTTCTTCCTCCCTACCGCGACCGACAGGTTGAGAGCGTTCGAGAAGTTGAAGCTCATCAGGTAGCTTCTCAGCCACGACGCTCCCAGCACAATCCCCTCGTCCGATGGCTCGATGCAGGCAGAGTAAGGGACCTCGTATACCTCGTCTTCGATGCTGATGAGTAAAGCGCTTCGGTTTCCGCTCTCGTAGAGTCGGAGCAGCTTCTCGTAGGGGTTTTCAGCCAGCAAGTCGTCCATGGTGCTGTTGGGGATGAGAATGCACAAGCTGTTGATGTCGATGCGAGCGAGAGTCGAGTTGGTGGAGGCCGAGAAGTTGAGGAGATCAACCCCACCCAGCATCATCCCCGTCACCTCCACCGCGTATGACCCGTTGCTCAAACTGAGATTGTGTGATACTAGCGTCCCATCCACCACCTCCGGGTCGTATCCTCCGAGCATGATTTGGCCGACATCATCGATCACCGTGATGGAGAAGACGGGAGGCATCGGCTCGAAGTCGTCCACCTGCGTCAGGTTCCAGGACGGTCTCGAGGTTGACGCCAGCGTTTTCAGGATGGCAGGAGATCCATGCTCCGCTGACCATCCGAGCCCGAGGATCCCGTCTGAGGCCATGGCAGACACACCACTGTCGACATGTGGGCAGGAGAGGACGGAGAACCTTGTTCTTACTCGCAGCTCCCCGATCTTTACCAGGTCCTCCCCGATGTAGCTCTCGTCCAGCTGCTGGATCAAGCTGAAGCTCTCGGAGTCTGCCGGATCAAACAGAGGAGAAGACGCCTCACATGTGAGCTTCTCCTCCCCTGCCATCGCCACCCCCACCATCCCCACCATCATCGCCATCCACACCATCCCATGTCGCCCCCCCGCCATCTTGACCTGCCAGACCCTTGCCTATTTTCGGTGTGACCGGGCCGGGCCCGGCGGGCCGGGCACGCGGCAGCCGCTCAGCCGGCGGCTAGTTCAACTTTTGACAATCATCGCCGGCTGTGTGACCGGCCACTGGCAGTCACTCGCTCGGACCTCGGGAAGGTGACTGGCTCATCATTGCTCAGCGACCATCATCGCGGCTCAGCGGCCCATTAAGCCTATTGAAGCCTCCGGTACGGTATCAGGGCCGAGAGGGACAGCAGTACGGTAGTGAAGGACTCAGCACTTGAAGTCAAGATAAATGGAGACGGTACCCAGCCGTGTGATAGAGTGACCGCCCTGCAGTGCGGCCCGGTATTAATTCGGGCCGGGCCGAGCCCGCCGGACCCCCCGGTGAGGCAGTCACAGGAGTGACTCAGTCACCCGTGACCGCACGGTACGACGGTACCGTCGCCGCCCGCCGCAGCGGGCCGCCACTGGCAGCGCCGGGGCGCGGCCGCCGGGCCCCGGACCGGCGGTCCGACCGGCCCCGGGTGCCCCGAGACCGCATCCCCACTCACACCCCCGGCATTCGTTTTGGTTTCATTCACCGTGGGTGGGGTCTAACCATTTCTACGGGGTAGGGTAGTAAAAATATGAGGGTGGGGTACTGAATATACGGGTGGTAGTAATTTATTATCAGGTGGAAAAGGTTGGTAAGGGTACTGGATTATCACCACAACATGGGGTGGGGTCTGACTTGAATGGGGTCACCGGGGAAGCCAAGGTGTACGTATGTTTGTGCAAAATGGAGAGGAGGAAGAGGAAGGAGGAGAGGAGGAAGAGGAAGGAGGAGAGGAGAAGAGCGAGAGAAGTTGAAGAAGAGAAGAGGAGAGACCGAAAGTGAGAGAGGAGATGGCTGTAAGAGAATAGGGAGTAAGAGAGATCGGCGAAGTGAGGACAGGTTTGGGGAGGAGCAACCGTGAGGGATTGAGGTAAAGACAGATTCAATAGACGAGCAGCGATCACGTCAGCAGGAAAGAGGTGGTGAAACATGGAAAACTTGTATCCAGTGCAGTTACCAGCAGGCCCTTTTCCAACCGATCCAATCCGAACTTTACAGCCATCACAAAGGAATTGCATAGTTGAGAGTCTCGGAATGTTTGACTGGTGTGCGTACTGTCTTTGTGGCTTTGTCTCGACCTTGTTGTACCACAAGACTGTTGGCAGGTGAGTTGCTGCATTGCTGAGCCTTTATAAGCATCAGGCGAGAAGCTGAGCTGGTCAGATCGCCATGGGAACAACTGGATCGAAGCTTGAGAAGTCGCTGCCCTCCTCCTTCCCTGACAACGAGAGAATCTTCGGGCTTGAGAATGTCTGTCTGCTCCGTCGCCTCCTTCAGCATGGCTGATGCTGCTTGTCAGTTCGGGAACACCTGCTACTGCAACTCTGTACTACAAGCTCTCTACTTCTGCCTGCCATTCCGAGAGGTAAAGGCCTTCCACCTCTATACTTGTTTGAGGCTCACCTCAGGCCGTCTTGGACTGGGCAAGAGCTTGTGTGAACAGCAAGGTTCTAGTGTGATGATTTCAGATGCGCTCTGTTGATTCTTGATGTCAGGTTCGCAACGATGAGGACTCCATGCTTGTTTCGGTGTGAGAGGGGGAGTCCAAGAGGAAGAGGAAAGAATGACGAGGATGTTGAGGTTGCGGAGACGTTCCTGCATATCAGCAGCAACAAGAAGAAGTTCGGAGTTTACGGCCCGAAGAAGTTGATTCAGGTTTCCATCTCCTCGAAGGTCGTCAGCTCTCCAACCGTCAGTAACCTCCTGTGCCCAGGTGTTGAGGAAGAACAATGAAGCCTTCCGAGGATATCAAGTCAGCGGTGAGTCTCCTTCCGACTTGATCTCACGCATGGCTGGTCTAGCATCAAGACGCTCATGAGTTCATGAACTACTTGCTCAATCAAATCACAGAGGAGCTCCACATGTACGAGTTCCCCACACTCTCACCCTCCTCCTCGTCTCCTGCTGCCTCCCCACCTCCCCTCCCTCTCCTCCCTGCGTCGACCTCGTTGGCTCCTTACGTCTCGCTACTTCAGGGAGGCCAAGGAGCTCGCTCCTCACTCAGTCGACCGGTTGACTCGCACGCGTGTGTTGCTCGTGCTGACTAGCGGTGAAGCACTCCGGAGATGCCCAAAACTTGGGTGCAGGTGAAGCGATGGATGGGAGCGAGGAGAGCGAGGGCGAGGAGAGGGGAAAGAGAAGAGGGGGGATGAGGCAGAAAGGCACCGGATGGAAGTGACGTTTGGCTCATGACGCAGAATATCTTCGAAGGAACTCTAACCAACGAGACGAGATGTCTCAACTGCGAGACTGTCACCAAGTAGAGCTTGTTGTACTCCTCCCCCTCCTGACGTCTTTACGATAAGTCGCGATGAAGCATTTCTAGACTTGTCGCTAGAAATTGAGGAGAACAGTTCCATCACGAGTTGTCTGCGGAACTTCTCAGGTGAAGTCAGTCAAAGCAACAAGCATGTTGGTGAGGCAAGGCGAGCAGGCATCGAGACTCTCAACAAGCAAGACAAGTTCTACTGCGAGAAATGTTGCAGTTTGCAGGTAAGGGGAAGGAGGAGAGGATGGGTGACTGGGAAAGAGAAGGGGGAACGGAAGGTCCTGCGGGGCCAGGAAAGGAATGTGAGAGTGTTGCAGGAGGCGCACAAATCGATTCGAGTCAAACGAACTCCAAACATCCTCGCGCTTCACCTGTGAGTTTGTCTCTCTTTCCCCTCGCCCGTCGCTCATCCTCGTGCAGCAAACGATTCAAGTACGTGGAGTCCGTCGGCAGGTTGAAGAAGTTGTCTCATCGCGTCGTGTTCCCCGTGGAGCTCAAGGTGAGGAAATTGCCTGCGCAGCGAGGAAGCTGAGGAGAGTCAGTTGAACAACACGACCGACGCAGCAGCAGATGAAGATGCTTTCTTCAACCTCTTCGCGGTAGTGGTAAGCAGGAAGACTTCTCTCCTCAAGACATGTCCTGTCAAATTGTCTCCTCTTTCCCTCTCTCTCCTCCCTTCCCCTCCTGTGAACTTCGTCTCCCCCTTCCTCCTTCTTTCTCTCGTTTACCGATCTGTCGATGAATGCCTGTGGCAGGTGCATGTAGGCAGTGGTATGAATCACGGGCACTACGTTTGTCTCATCAAGATTCACGAGCAATGGTTTCACTTCGACGATGACACCGTTGAAGGCGTCGATGACTCGCACGTAAGCAACCACTTCCCCCTCGTCCCCCTCCCCTGCACTTGAGACTCTATCCTGTTGCCTCCTCCACCTTTGTTACTGTGTGGAAGGCTCTGTCGTTCCACCTCCGCTCTCTCATCTCTTGCTCGACCCTCCGCTCCTCCTCTCCTTGCCTCTCTCTTGCTGCTTCGCCTTGCTGGTCTCACGACGCTGTCTCAGCTTCACTCTGTCTTTGGGTCAGCGCAGGAAGGAGGAGGGAATTATTCTGGCTACATCCTCTTCTACCAGAAGGTCACGGCGTGAGAGGCTGCAGGCTTCCTTGTCATGTAGAATATTCATTGAAACCAACAACACACGTGGAGTGTCGTGTGCATATATCCCGTCCTCCTCCTCCTCCTCGTCTCTTGCATGCTGATTCATGTCTCCGTCTTCTCCCTCAACTTCGCGCGGCAGACAAGAGGAAGGTGATCTGAGGGTTGCGACTTGTCAGGAAGACCCTGCGAGCCCTGCAAAGCCAGGTGAGGAGGAGGAGTAGGAGGAGGAGGAGGGAGAATTGAACCAGGTCCTGAGGAGAGGGAACGTCGAGCACCTGAAAGGCAGTAAGGAAACGAGCAAGGAGGGGGAGGGGGAGGGGGGGGGGGGGGGCACAGGAGGAGGAGGAGGAGGAGGAGGAGGAGGAGGAGGAGGAGGAGGAGGAGGAAGAAGAGGAGGAGGAACTCACCGACTCCACGACAAACTTTGCTGGGGAGTCTCTTACGTCGTTTGACAGTGTAGGAAGGAGGAGACTTGGCGAGAATTTCTGCATATGTCGGTTGTCTGCGGCGGAGGGAGCAGAAAAGAGCAGGAAACTTGAAGAGCGCGAAGCAGTGCTTCACCTCCTCCTCCTCCTCCTCCTCCTCTGCAGGGCACCTAAAGAAGATGTAGTCGAGAGTTCCTGAGAAAGTTCAGTAAGGAAAAGAGGAGGCGAGCGGGGAGGAACCTTTGAAATGCTGTCTGTAGTTGGTGTACAAGGGCTCCGAGGCCTGAGGGGGGAGCAAGGAAGGGAGGGGAGGGGAGGGAGATGGGGAGGAGGAGGAGGCGTTTAACAGCGCGAACATATGACGATAAGCGCTTTCAAAACCAGCATCTTCAGTAATGAAGTGGTAGACCTTCAAGACAAGTCAACAGGAAAAGCTTCTCCTCCGTTACCTCACAGCTCCTCTGCCTCTTCTCTCCTCGTCTCTTCCTCTGCCTCTTCTCTCCTCGTCTCTTCCTCTGCCTCTTCTCTCCTCTTCTCTTCCTCTGCCTCTTCTCATCTTACCCGGGTCTGCGGCATCGAGTTGAAGTCACCCATCAGAAGACTCGTCATGTGGCCGAACTGTCTCTCAATCTTATCGATTTCCCTCACTACGGTCTTCGCCTGTCATACCCGTCAGACAAAGAGAGCCGATGAGGAGAAAGAGGGGAGGGCAGAGGAGGGGGAGGAGAGCAGAGATGAGGAGGAGGAAACGAGGGCAGAGGAGGAGGAGCTGTCTGCCTGAATGAGCTTGAGGTCGCTGAATTGTGGGTTCCAGAACAGATGTGCATTTGCGATGCACATCATCTTCTCATTGCTGCGACGAGGCTGAGGTGAAGGATCCTGCTGCGTCTTGCTGTCGTTTCTTTGACTTTCCTCGACGTGTTGAAGGATGACATATACAGCAACATTGTGTGTGATATAGGAAGGAGTCTCGATGTAAGGTCTTGCTCTGAAATGTTTGCTACTCAGCATCTTCTGTTCTATTATCATCGGTCGTACTCACCGCTCTATGGCTCCATCAAGCTCCACCGCTCGAGAGTGTACGAGTCGGAAGCTCTTCCTCTTCCAGAAGGTGGCACCTGTGTTGCGAGACATCAACTCTCGGTCTAACAGATCTCTTTCATGCCAACATCCATCTTGCTTGTCGATTCCATTCCGCTGCTTGTAAACTCCTTCATACCTGAACTGAGGTCAGCAGCGTCACCTGGGCACGCAGCATGCTACCCCCTCGCGCGCAACTCTGGATCAACAAACGCCTCATAGTGATCAACTTCCTGATACATCCGCTGACTTGTCAAGAAGTTTGCAGCAAGAGGCGCTGACCTGAAGGCATATCACGTCCGCGTCAACTGCATCAATGATTTGTAGCTGGTGCGATCATATCAGATTCGCCTCATTGCAATTCCAACATCACGAGTGAATGTTTTCTATGCTGCCATGTCAGAAATCTTGGATTGACCTCTGGAAAGTGTTCTTTCTTGGCATAGCAGCTGCTTCAAACTTCAATCTCAGCGCCTCTCCATAATGGCTTACTCCGCAAGGATGTTGTAGGTCAAGAATTTGATGCTCCTTCCCTGTATACTTTTTGTGCGGCTAATCCATGTCCTATTGCCTAACAGCTCGTCAACATTCTCAGTGACCCGGGCCACGTTTTTCTTGTCTTTTCCTGAAACAAGCTCACTATGGTGTCACATGACGTTGACTGACCTCTTCCAAGGCCCAACAGATGTCGGCAGGAATAAAGACACTCTCCGATCACGGGCCATTGAAGGCAAGTACAGTCGATGCCCTTAAAAGAGTCGGAAACAGGGAGAAGGGACAGGAGCAACACGATGAAGCGAAGCGAGCGGGTGGACCATCGACGCGACTGGGAGGACGGTAGAGTAGAACAGGAAGAATCATCCTTGCTGTGAGAGGATCGCTCGGTCAGGTGTCCCCTCCCTCTCATGGTTCATTCCTCTGTACGTGTCGCTCGTCTTTGCCATGGCCCTGCGTTGATGCGACTGATCGCGAGCATGACCAGCACTGTGTTTTCAGGGAATATTTTATTGGAAAGTTTTTAAATTGTACCGGATTCAAATTTTAAAATTAGTTTCTACCACAATTGTTTTAGTCTTTTTGAACTGTCCAACTGTAGTTACTGTGCTTTGCTGGTTGGTCAGAAGAGGGGGTAGGGTCATAAGTGCACGGGTCCTCAAGAATGATTTTTCAAGGGTAGTACGATAGGTCATGGTCACACGGTGGGGGTCCTACCAGCAGTCGGAGGGTATGATCTTTGAACATTCTTTTCATGAAAGTTTGTAGGAGGAGGAGGAGGAGGAGGAGGAGGAGGAGGAGGAGGAGGAGGAGGAGGAGGAGGAGGAGGAGGAGGAGGTGGTGGTGGTTGGGAGAGGAAGAAGTCAAAGTAGAGGTGGGAGAGAAGGGCAGGGACAGCAGCAGTGACTTCCCCCTGGTGAGTAGTCACTCAGTCAGGCTAAGAGATCAGGGAGAGTTGACCGCAAGAGAATGAACATTGAAGACGTGAACGAACATGGATGATGGAGGGTGAAAGAGTATTCAAGACCCGATCAGTTCAAGGTGCTGTCCAATAGGTTATACGGGCATGAACAAGGAGGCACAAAGTCAGACAATAAGCTCCCCGCCACTCGTTGCTATTGTGGTTGGTGCTGTTGTTGTAGACCCATAGAGGGAAGGGAGGGAGGCTCGGAGGGAGAGGGGAGGAGACGGGATAATGATGTGCAAGGGCAGGAATGAACAATCAGAGGCAACCATTCACGAGCTCTTATTATAATCCAGCGCCGGGCTTTCATGAAATTGTCCATCTCGTACAACAAGAGCGCAGATCCGGTGAAGCAGATCAGCAGGAGTGCATCAAGAAGGGAATGACTCTTCCACCAGCAGATGATCAGCCACTGAGGTATGGCATCGGAATGACCATCTCCGACGAGTATCCCTACACCGTTCAATCGATGAGAGATCTTGTCGACGCGGATGACAGTCAGCAGAATCAATGATGCCTTGTCGAATCTTATTCGTATTTGTCCTTAGGATCGTTGGAAGGACAACTGCAACCAGGAGACATTGTGACATCCATTGATGGCGCTTGGTTGACCAGTGACATCGACATAAAGCAGGCGAGTTTGCTCTTTCCTTGCCGGTAAACCAGACCTGAAATATTCTTGTGTCGATTCAGCTGAAAGAGAATGTGTTGGGTACTTTTGGAACGTTGGTTGAGATCGGGTGTGTTACCGTCCACAGCTTGCCGATGATTCAACCATTGATGAGATTCCTTTAGTTTCTTGTCAAGCACGACTGGAGTTCGGAAGTATATCAGAGCAAAGCGACACTTACCGGTCGAGCACATCAGGGTTCCTTCGATTGTGAGATTGTGCCCGGGTGCTTCTGTTGAGCTCCTGATTGTCATTTTTACAGCCTTCCGATTCACATCAGAGTGTGATGGTCTCACAAGATGAAGGTTGATCTCTGCCTTGAAGATTCTTTGATTGAGTTTTCATGCGGGAATAGATGACATGGCCCATCATCCCTTCAATTTCAGCAATGGGCACCTACACTATGCAAATCCCTTGAACACCTTGTACAAAGCAATCTACAACGCAATGCAACATGCCAAAAATCGAGACGATACGATGATGCAGAGATTGATCGTGCAGATCAAAGAGGAGATTGAAAGGATCGAGGAGATTCCAAGCCGTTCTTCAAGGTTGTCCAATGATGAGAAGAGCAATCTTGAGGAGAGAGAGGAGATGGAGTCATTGAACCAGAAGCTCAGAAACGAACTACAACAGAGAGAGCAAGAAGTTACCAACCTCAAAGCTCTCATGCAAGAAAAGTCCAACGCTTTGGCTGAAATTTTGAAAATGAAAGAGAACGAAGTTCAGGGGGCTAGGGCCGCGTTTGCTAAGGTTTCAGAAGACTACGAGAGAGCTCGAGCTGAGAATGAAAAGCTCGTAGCGAGTCAGGCAGAGCTTGAGGCATCCATTGGATCTTCTCAGACCTTGCAGGATCAAAACCTCCAACTTCGGCGGATGGTGACTGGGCAAGAAGCGGCTATCGAGGAGCTACAACAGTTGGTGAACGACTTGCAAGCGAGGAAGGAGATGCAGGAAAACATCTCGAGCGACCTGAAGCTTATCGTCAACGAAAAGGAAGATTTGATCGAGAAGCTTCAAGTCGCTGTTGAAGAATCAGAAAGCTCTTTGCACAAGAGTGAAAACTCGGTCCAACAAATATCAGAGCAGTTGGAAACGAAAGTGAGTGAGCTGGAAGCTGCGCTGCTGGTGATCCAGAAGATGAAGACAGAAATACAGAGCAGGCAGGACGAATTCGAATCACTTGTACACCAGCTGAATCAGAGCCAGCAAGAAATACAGAGACTTACTTCAAGATTAGATGCAATCGATCACACCAGCGCTGACGATCAACTTGCCCTTCAAGTCACGGAGAAGTACCAGAACGCCCTTGCCCAGATGGAAGATGATAAGAGATTGATCCAAAGACTTGAAAACGAACAGAACAAACTGAAATCATCGTTAAAGGGATCAGACGAAAGGATTGCCTATATCAGCTCCGAGTGGAAGCGAGCTCTAGAAAACGAGAGAAAACTTCGCTCTCAGGAGAACGTCGAGGCTGAAGAGAAGATGGCGATCTTTGAGGGGGAAATCGAGCGACTCAAGAAAGAAGGTGAACCTGACACGTGCTGTGAAATGTGTTTGACCTTTACTCTTTTGGAGCAGTCGAGATGTATAGAAACAACGCAAGCAGGCCGAAGCCCCTTGCAACTAACACAACACACAACCAGATGCCCGCAGGCAACATCAAGGTCGTGAAGAAGATGGATCAGAGCAGAGAGTCTCCTCGCTCCTCTCGCTGCCTTCAATGTCGCAACCTTGACGATAAGCTTCGCATGCTCAATTTCTATCTATCCTGCATTCCTGTTCCGGTCAATGAATACCCCTAGCCTGATTACCCCCACCCTACCTTTGACCAGTAAATCATGAATTTTTTCCTAGTATTTTATTGAGGCGGGTTTGTAGGCTTTATCCTCCTTTGTTTGCTCCGGTTTGCCCTTCTTTTTCAGTCAATAAAAGAGAACTGACAAGAGCCCGACAGCTACGGGAGAGGGAGAAGAAGAAGAAGAAGAAGAAGAGACAGGGAATGATATGAAGATCGCGATGAAAACTTGAATGCAGTGCAAGAAGTTCTGCCCGATATGGTGGCTTGCCTCTTCTCTGTTGCTGGCTTCCTCGATCAGCGCTATGAAGAGCAGGATGAACAGAAGGATGACGCTATGGAACTGCGCGTCTGATGTCCTTGCACTGTGCAGCGATGTTGAGCCTGGCGATGGGAGAATGGAGGCTTGCTTGATAGCACAGCATGCCTACTTGACCGCGATGTGTGCTGAGAAGAAGCAGAGCTCCTTTTCAGTCCCAATGTCATGCAAAGATCACGTTGAGACTCATTGCAGTGACATCATAGATGATGGATTGCGATTGACATGCCTGCGGAGAAATCATGAGAAGATATCTGCAGAATGCAAGAATCACATGTCTGCGCTGGAATCAGACTCATGGGAGATGTTGCATCACCGATTTAAGAGTATCAGTGTAGATTCTCCCTGCACCAGAGCTTTCATCCGAGCTTGCAGGAGTGTGACTTGCGGCAAAGGCGGTTTGCAGGACTGTGTTGCCAAGAACTGGCAGAGGCTTCACGCAGACTGCGGTCTTCTTCCTCCTGAAATGCCCGAGAAAGTGCATGAAGTCTGTCAGAAAGACTCGCTCATCTTGTGCAAGCACATCGCTCCGGGCAACAGCCGAGTCGGTGCTTGCCTGCGGCAGTTCGATGGGATAAGAACGAGAGATGGCTTGACCTTGAGTGATGATTGTCGTTCGGCTCTCATCCTTGAAGATGCCAAGATGGACATTGCTTGTGCTTCAGACGTCTCCAAGTTCTGTGGGCCGGATCATCGCTCACAGGAGGAACTTGTTTCTTGCCTCCGCCCGCACCAAGAGAAGCTGGTGAGAACGTTGATCTTGCTCGTCGGGCTTTCCTCATAGCTGTTTGCAGGCCATGGGATGTACAATCAGGAAACACATGCATGAGTTCTCTTCGAAGGCTCCCATGCATGAAAATCTACACACAGGAGCTAGTGCAGAAGGTTGCACAGCAGACATCAGCAAGTTCTGTGCGGGGATACCGGCAGGGCAAGGCTTGATTCATGCTTGTCTTCTGAAGAATAGGTAAGGAAGAGCATGGGGCATCGACAACCTTTGAGTGTCAGTTGAAGGCACAAACTCTCTCCACTGTGTCGAGTACCACGAGGACAAGTCGTTAAACCCATCACGCAGACCTCGAGGTCTGTTGGTGATTCAGATCTCAACAGCTGACGATCTTGTCTCATCAGAAGTAGAATCGAAGAAGCGAGCGATGAGGCAATGCGGACACTGGATGACGACATGGCCAAGCTCAAAAGCCTCATTGATAGAGAAGTCGAGGCGTTTCAGCAAGCCGATCTCGATTCTTCTGGAGACCTTGATGTGCATGAATATGTCCTGGCGATCCGATACTTGCTCGCTGAGGTCAGTTGCCCTTTCCCTTCAGCTCGCTCACTCCCGTGTACTTCAGGACGACACCGTACACATCCGCAGTACGTTCATGGAGGCCGACCTGGACGGGAGGTAGGCATTGATGGCTAGCTCCTGCTCGCTGACTGATGGCGGCAGCAACACAGTGGACGCGTCAGAGTTTCACCTCTTTGCCAGCAAGAAGCTGAAGGATTCTTCCTCCAACACCACTGATGGCAACGTGAGCTCAGCCGGCACAAGCTCTACCCTATCGACCGAGACAAGTCCTAAGGAGGGCGACAGCTCACGTAGGACAAGGAGGTTGAACGTTCTGCAGATCTTCTTCTCCAGGTTCGCCTTGTTCTCTCCCGATGCCTCGCCGCTCACTCGCCCTCAGCAAGTGGATCTTCATTCCCGCACTCGTCGTGGTCGCTCTGATGGTCTTCACTTACCGCTCTAGTGTCCGTCGTGCTGAGAAGCCCAGCAAGTGGTTGGGTGTTCGTAGCCACAAGGTAGACAAGAGGAGAAGGGTCGTGCTCTGTTTCGTCTTGATCTTTCTGCAGCGGCAGGAGGGGCCCGGCAGGGATAACGTGCGAAGGCCGACGCCTGTCGCTCGCCGACGACCATGACAGTGACGACCACGCCGCCGCACAGCGGCATGATTGTGACAGTGTTCAAGTTGTAGCTCAGCGGCGCCGGTGCAGCACGGTCTCTGGGCCAGTAGTCCGATCAGTCATCACGGTGATCCGGCGGCTCGCGAGAGTCAGCCTGTGACTCAGGCCCGGCTTCCCCCGGCGACGTGACTTAGTAGCAGTGCCAGCGCCGGGCCCGGCCCGGACCGTTCCGAGTTCCGGTACCGTAGTACCGTAAGGAAACGGTCCCACAGTGACTCCTAAACTTTCAACGGTTGAGAATTTCAATACAAGTTCCAAATCTTTAAGTCCAAACTTCAAAGTTTTGCCACCGCGTCTCTTCGTGCATGGCAATGCGTGAGGTAGTTCTCCGCGCGGGTCTGGCGGCCATGGTAGTCGTCCTCGTTGCCTTGACGGTCTACAAGAGGCAGGTAGGATGAAAGCTCTAAGATTGAAGGAGCTCAATTTGATCTCTTGATGAACTTGATGTCAGGGCCGAGGAAGAGAAGTTTTGCTTGGAAGGAATGTTTTGTCCTCCAGGGACAGTTGGCTGGGGAACAGAGCGAAAAATCTAGAGAAATCAGCTCAGATGTTGCAAAGAATGGCTAATGAGAAGATATCGGAGACCAAGAGGATCGAGGCGATGCAGTCGTTCTTGAAGCAGGCAAGGAGTGAGTTGAAGGCGTACTCAGCAAACATCGACGGCTTGGTGGAAGCAAGGGACTCCAACGTATCACCGCAAGTTCTCGATCAGGTAAATCTGATTGTTTTTGGCTCAGAGAGAAAGAGGAAGAGGGAGATTATATCTGATCGCTTTTGGCTGGAATTCTTACCATCGTCTTGTAGTTTCCGAGGGAAGCTGCTGAATTGCATGCTCTGATGGATCACACGCTGGGAGAAGCAGACGCCCTGTCGTTGAGTTTCGCACATGCCCCTGCCATGCCCGCAAGAGAGTGGAAGAAGAGCACGGAGGTTGTTGTCGACTGTTATAGTGATTAATTTCTGCTGACCGTGGATACTGAATCAGCAGGTTCGCAAACAGGTCAAGAAGTCTGTTCATCCCCAACAGTTGCATACAAGTTCAGCTGCTAGCTTGCGGGAGCAAAAGGTCAAGGCTGTTCTCAACAAGTTGAAGCAGGTGAAAGAATTCGAGAGAAAGATGAGAAACGTAAGTTTCTTGGACCCTGCCACTGCTGCCTGTGACTTCAAATCTTCAGCCTGCTCTGAGGAAGCAAGAAACGTTGAAGCTGTTGGGACAAGTGACGGCGGCTGCCAGACACGGGCAGACGCACATGTTGGTTCAGCCTGGTCCGCTTCTTGGAGCGATGAACGTGAGGGATGGAGCGCTGGTTGAATCCGACCCCAAATACAGACCAGCCGACATCGAGCAGGAGAGTGAAGACCCCGAGGTGATAAAGAATCAAACTGTGCCGGAGTACTCCATCGATGAAGACAAGGTTCTGATGCCTCTCTCTCTATCTGCGATGAAGTCATTCGTGCCTATCCTCAGGTTCTGGCCTGCAACGTTACGTGCCAGAGAGCGATCATCGACTCGACATTCGGTTTGACTTTTAAAGTTGCGTCAAAGTGTGTGCCCGAATGTGCGCATGGGCACTACATCATGAAATTGAGGGGCGAGCCTTTGCCGGCGTGGACCAATGTGGATCAGGTCGTTCAAGAAAGGAATGATTTTCATCGTGCTGAATTTGCAAAACGCTGGCAGTTGATTGAGCAGGACTCTCTCTGTCGCGAGGATCCGGAGTACAAGAAGTGCAAGCTGGATGCACTGGAGCCGGCGTGTGACAAGATCTCCGAGTTCATGCCTCAGGTTCCCTGATTTCCCTTGCTCGATCCTAACCTTCTAACTCGGTGCAGTACTGCCTCATTCATACTGAGGAGGGCATTTGCAAGCAGTGCAAACAAGCTCAGCTGTTTGAGGAGGATCTTGGGGAACATCACAGAAGCATTCTGTGTCGATCTAACGCGGAACGCTATGAGATCTGCTCGAAGAGATGAAGATGTTTGTTGTTGCTATGCATTCTTGAGATGCGTTCACAACACTCAAATTCCACTAGTTATATTACCCGTAAATTATTTCTTTCACAAATACATAAAAAGTCAGAGCCTCCTTGTCAGAGTTAACAGTCCTCCTATGGGATTCATAAAATGTGCTGGTAGCAGCATTCGAGCACACAAGCATGAGCCATGTGTCCTCGGTCTATCGGATCAAAAAGCGTAGGTTCGGCCTTTCCGAATCGGGTTGGCATCGGCTTGCACCTCCCTGTTGTTGTGGAACTCAGGAATCAGCATTCTTGAGCTGGTTGGCGAACTAGAGAAGATGTTTGGAGGCACCAGGTGAGCAGAAGCAGCGCTCAAGACATTAGAGTCTGGTGCGGGCACTTGCGCTGCCCTCTGAGACGAATCATCCTGCATGAGAGCAAGCCATGTGGAGTCATCATATTCCTTGGGCTGTCGCTTCGAGGCTAAAGCATCCTCCCCCGAAAGGTTGGTCTCCTGACCTGCCGGCAAACTCGAGCGCAGCTTCACTCTCGTCTTTGAGCTCGCAGCTTCGTCTTGATAATCCCTGTCTTGCACAGTTCGTTTGTTTGCATAGCTGCCAAACAAGGGGAACATACTGCAGAAGTATATCGACATCTTCTTGAGTACCACACTGTTTCTCATGTTGTAGGACTTGTCTACAATAGGCCGAAGAATCGTATCGACTCGCCGAAACTGTTTGGTGCACCAAACATCGAGCTCGCCGGCACTGCTGAAGCCGAAAAAACTTGCACCATACACGAGCACTTGCTGCGCTTTCTCCACTGCTCTCGAGACATACGTCTTACGTTCAGCAACATGCTTGGTGTACGTCTTGAGGTTTTCATACGTGTAGACAACCAGAGTATCTTGGTTGTTACTCATCCTGAACAATCAACAATGATTATTCAACGTGCACGCAAGAACAACAAAACAACAGGCAAGCGATCGCCCTGAACAAAGTGCCTAAATCCTTCATTATGCACTGGTATGCTAAACTCGTATATTCACAGGAAGCCTCCACTATCAAAAATGGGCAAACATGAGCGACAATCGAATATGCAGGCGAAGCGATGAGAGAGTTAGATGGGTAGCAGGATTTTCAAACACCAAGAGGCCAAAGGATCAGGAAAAAAAGAAAACAATAGACATTAAGAAGACCAGATGAAAGAGATCAAACAAACCGAGCACACAACGGGAAGGCATTAACAGGGGTTGGAAGAGTATAACAACGCGAAGGAAGAGGAAGGGAGGGGAATAAGGTACAGGAGGAGCAAGAAAGAGGACAAGGATGTAGAGAGAGGCTCGACGAAGAAAGCTTGAGAGGGGAGGAGGAGGGAGGGGAAGAAAAGCAGGCGAAGCATGGCGGGCTGTTGAGGCGACCAAAAGTCGTTTTTTGTATTGAAGTTTGAGCGACAAATGTATCCCCAAGGAACTTTGACGAGTCACCGGCGGGTCCCGGGCCGAGCCTCCGACCGGCGACTCCGGCGGCCAGCCGCTGGCTCGCCGGGTCGGCCCAGCCTGCCTCAGTACTAGGCCCAGGGCCGGGGGTTGTCTCAGTTGATCACTTCACTCCTCTGCTCCTTGTCTCACAACCCCCGCGCGGGCCACGCAGTCGATGAGAAACTCGAGCGAGTTGACCTGGTGCAGACCTACGAGCTGTGAGGAGGAAGAGAGGCTAGCGACTTGCTTGACCTGCTCGCCACTCGTACGGTAGGAACGTCCTGCCATGGATGGATCCTGACTAGCACGTCAGCTGCTTGACCTCGCTTGCTCGAGCTCTTGCCCATCACGATGCCGATCAAGGCTGTGCGATGTGAGCTGTTACCGCCTGCCGTGAGTCAGCCGATGCAGCAGAGTCAGGCAGTGCAGACCCAAGTTGACGCTCGTCTCGATGGCTGTCCTTGGCTGCTGCAGATACTTGATGCAAAGAAAGCTGAGGGGGAATGAGACAGGGAAGAGGAGGAACGATTCTCACAGCACGCAAGGGAAGGTGTGGTCGAGCGAGGAGCTCACGCTGCTGTAGACTATCCCAACCACCTGCTCGCTGTCAATGCCCAAGCAAACAAGGCGAGCTGAACCTCGTCCTCAGGGAGGGAGAGCAACAACGACAAATCCATCTTCTCTGCCCTTGCCGCTCCCTCGAGTTCAGAGAGCTTGCGCAAGCATGTGAGAAGCAGACACGCAAGAAGCTAAGAATCACTGGATCATGTCCGAGGATCAACCTGTGAAGCAAGTTGGCCCACTTGTAACCGTATCTGCACCAGCGTCATCTGATCTCCCTCCCTCCTCTCACCGCTTCTCCTCACTGCTGAAGGCGCTCGCTCCGAAAGAACAGCTCTATGTGCTGGTAAACCTTGGAGAGCGTCAGCTTCGTTGGAGCTGGCAGCCACCTACCATGTCGAACAAGCCTCCCTCAGGAACCATCGGGAGAGGATGCTTCTCGCTGAGGAGAGGGAGTCACACGCTACATCATCTTCTTCTCTTGAAGCTTCACCTGTACTTGATGGCAGGAGAGCTGCCTGAGATCGCGCCTTCCGACCGGCGTCCTTGCTCCACAGCCAAGAGAACGATGATGGGCGTGATCTGAATGAGGGCGTGGGACGCGTGCTCGAGGGCCCCCGAGGTCAACCCGGCGGAGTAGTAGGGCTTGTTGCCATGCGAGTATCTCTCGAAGAATCTGAAGAAATCAAAACGAAGACGGTCAAGGATAGAGGGAGAGGGAAGAGGGAGAGAGGCAGAGAACAAGTGGATCACTGGATGTAAACATCGTCGATGTACGTATCCTTCATCTCACGGTCGGAGAGCATATACTCGATGAACTTGTTCAAGAAGTCATCTCTGTCGTAAGTTCCTGTCTCGGCAATCTTGTGCAACGTCACAACTTGTGGGAGGCATCGAGGTTTGCTCACGCTCTTCAGCAAGACTTGTGCTGTCTGCGCGTTCAAGGTGTTCATGCCCTTCTTCAACGACCTGTGCCTGCTGCAGCATCAGACCAGCTGACGAGCCTCCAACTTGCGTACGGGTGAACTCCTCGCTGCGAGTGGTATCGCTCCATGCCTGTCATGATGTCCGACTTGCGGTTCGGTTGCCGGATCTGCAGCTCCTCAGCTCTCCCCGCAGCCATCAGGTCAACCCGCACAGATGAGGGGAAGAAGCTGCTCGAGTCGCTTCCCAGCAGTCTCAACCTGCTGCTGATGCCCAGGTGCATGCCTCCGTCCGCGTGTGCGGCGTCAAGTCTGTTCAGAAGGATCAGCAGGCATGGGCGTGCGAGGGAGCTCACGGGTCTGCGAGCTCTCCGATGCTCCCATAGTCTCGCTGCAGAGCCTTGCGGTTCACGTGCCCGTCCGAGGGCCAGCCCATGGCATCCCCACAGAACAGGCCCCACAAGCAGCCGACCATCCGCTCGCGCAGGCTGTGTGGAGGCGTCAGGAGGCTGAAAGCCGTCGGGCGTTGGCCTTGCCTGGGGGGAATGAGCGCATCGAGCGAGCGCTTGTAGCTCTCCAGCATCTCCTCCCTGCACGCCTCCATCAAGCTCAGCAGGTCGAGCAGACGCGACTTGACATGTCGGCAGCGGACGCGAGCTGATACTGACTCTCTGCTTCCTTGAGGAACGCGTTGGCCATGGCGAGACGGAGGTAGATCTGATAGACAGCTGAGAGTGAGCTGGGAGAGGTCGAGCGCTACCTTGTACTTGTGTAAGACTATGGCATTCTGCCACTCGCTGAGCTCGATGCTCCCACTCCCTTCACATGCAACTCAGCAGCTCCCTGAGAACCTCGGGATCACCGTCTTCGTCGAAGTCCTGGAGCTGCTTGAAGTCACTAACTGGAAGGGACAAGAAGCAGCAGCGTCACCATGGCGTGAGCTTCTCGTCGCGAGAGGAAGACGTTGATCTTCGACAGCGACTCTTGAAGCTCCACGGCATCGATGGCGCCAGACTTGTCCTGCAAGAGCGTGAGCACTGGGATACAAGAGGACGAGACTAGTTGGCTGACCTCGTCAAACTCTTCGAAGATTCTTTTGACGAAGATTTGCGTGTCTTGCGGATCGATCTGACAGGAGGGTGAGGAGGCGGGGGATGAGGAGTGTGGTACCTCGCCGACGATGAGAGCGTCCACCTTATCGAGAATCTGATCGCCTTTGACGCGAAACAGCAGCTTCTCTTGTTCCTCTCTGATCAGCTCTTCCTGAGACCTCCTTCAGAGGCCCAAGGAGTTTGCAAGCGTGTCTTCACCACGATGGTTTTCAAGGTAGGCTTGCCCATGACAGTTCCAGTCAAGTTGTTCCTCTCATCTTGAAAGGAATCAAGAAAGTCTTGACGATTCACTTTACCTGTCTCATCTGATGCACCAATCTCGTCCATTCTTGAGAATTGTTCCATGGAGGTTTTGAAATGGCTTGTGACAAGTCACCAACAGACATCATGAGCGGGCGGTTGCTCACGTTTTGGACAAGTCAAGTATCTCCTGCAGCTGTTGGGTGTCTCTTTCCTTGGTGGTGGCTCGACTGGGAAACTGCTTCAACCCCATCACCTGAGCGACAAGCTAAGAGGCTTTATCCACGCGAGCTACTTCACATGCTGCAAGGACGCCACTCCTTCCTTGTCCCCTTGCTCCCTGTTGTCACAGCATGTCATCGCTGCTCCTCTCCTCTCTGACTTCACTCGACCTGGCGATCGCGATCTGTCGCAGTCGCTCGACCTTCCGGCCTTCGGCCTCGATGTCTTCATCCTTCATGTTGTACAACTCCAAGTCGGCTGTCTGCACCTGCAGCAACGAGCATGCTCAGATCGCGATGATGTCTTGTTCAAATCTCACGAAATGCATCGCATGCTTTTCTTTCAGCGCGTTTAGCTGATGCAGACTTCAAGGGACAACATGGTGAGTACAAATATGATCTAATGGCCTGTTCTTACTATTCCTTTGCCTTCTCATAAAACGCTTGAGCTTCATGCAAACATTTTCTTTCCTCCAACCACCTAATGTTTGGTCAACACCCGATATTTCTTGCAATCACCAAGATACAAAGATTTCTCCGATGCCTGCGCAAACTCAGTCACCCAAGGGACCTTGCGGATAAACATGTCTGTCACCTCCGTCTTGAGGAGGTTGAGCCTGCAGTAAGCCTACACGCGATTGAGAGTGAGCGACAAGCACGGGAAGTAGGAGAGAGACCAGCGCCTTGTCTGCTTCCGTCTTTAGTCGCAGAGCCTCTGCTTTCACCTCCTTCCCTTCCGCCAGGCCTTCCGAATCCGCCGACGCGATCTTCATGGCTGCGAGCCTTCCGCTGCTTGATCGGACCGTGAACTAAGTTCCGACTCGGACGATGAGATCTCACTGTGACTCAGTCCACTACATGGCATGTCGGGGCATCATCGCAGCCTCTCATGGTTCTGCTCTTGCTACATTCCCTCCGCTCTCCCGCCTTAGGCAGTTTGCTGGTAGCACCGAACTTGATAGCTCCACCAGTGCCCCGCCCGGCGATGGGACTTACGGCGTTCAGTGGCCGGGGCCCGGCCGGGCCGTCGTTGATACCCGCGTAACGAGTGGTGTAACGTCCTGAGCTGCCTCTTCGCCATGCGATCTCTAGCGGTGGATGGCGTGAGGGGGGCGGGGGCAGCGATGATGTGCGCAGCGATGCTGCTGCTGCTGATCATGCAGAGAGATCATGTCAGACCCACGGGCCTCGTAAGCTCGAGGCAGAGTCGCCTGAGGCAGCAGACAAAGGCTCATCGCGTGCTGAAGTCCAGGAAACAGGAGCTTGCATCGTTCCCTGATGCCACTCCTGAACTCGATCTGCCGCATGTCGACACTGCCAGAGACGCAGAGCCTACCGACTTCTTCAACCAATGGTCGAAGGAGGATGACTCTAAGCTTCCTCTCCCCACCCTGTCACTTGCAGGAGCCCGCGGCAAGGACCGTGCGAGGAGAAGAATCCAGATGATGCACAAGACGCAGAAGCTTGCACCTGCGGGGGGAGACTCTGATTTACCCACTGCTGCAGATAACCCAGTTGGCGTTGCTGCCGCCGCCAAGATCTTGAAGGACGAGGAAGGTTTCGACAAGTCGATAGGCGAAGGGAAAGATGCGTTGGAAGAATGGAAGAAGGCAGCCAAGAACTCTGGTCCAGCCATTCTTGATTCGATCACTGATGACGCGACCTCATTCAACCCCTTCCCTCACCAGAGTCTGTCGGAGAAGCTTGAGATTCAAGATGTTTGGAACAACGCTAGGAAACTTGCGAAACCTGCCGGGAAGTTGAGTGATGATCCCAAAGAAACGAAGAAGTCAATCATGAATGCAGAAGCTCAAGCAGAATCTGCAGCATATCTCGCAGCCAATGAAGCAGCGGCAGTTGATGCTTATGATCTTTCCATGCCGAATCCTGATATGATGGCAAAGAAAGGCCGTAGCAGTTTGACTGGACAAGCTCTCGCCAACAAGAACCAAATGCATTTGCAGGGACAAGCGATGGCTGTACACTCACACCATGGGCCCCTCTCCTCTCAGGCCTTAGCAGCGTGGCGAAGGGCCGATCGCATGAACGGCAGAAAGAATGCCATTATGAGCCGCACGCAGGCATTGGCCGACGTCGATGGCGGTGCAGCTTTGAAACACGGGAGCAAATCCATCGATGCAGCGATTGTTCGACTTGTGAAGCAGGACGAGAAGACGATCCGCAGTGACGTCAATAGATATCGTTTGGCTATAGCGAAGGCTCAGGGAGAAAAGGACGAGGCGGTGAAACTCGCAGGAGCCGACAGCCAAGCTGTGAAGGATGCAGCAACCATGATAACCAAGGACAAGGTCCACATTCTGATGGATGGAGGTAGAGAAATGGAGGCGAAACGAATCATGAAGGCAGCCGAGACTCTTGAAAGCTCAGCAGCTCAGCAGTCCAGTGGGGCCAAAGCTTTGAAACCCAAACCAGTGGAGATGGAACGAGGGCAGGTGTCTGACACAGCAGAGCAGCCAATCGAGGTGCGGATGAGGTCACGCGCAAGGAATGCACATAAGCCCAGCCTACTAAAGCAGAATTTCAAAGCCACAGACAAAGTAAGTCCCACAACATGCGCGCTTAGGCGACTTGTTCGCTTATTCTGCATTCTAGGTACAATTCAACGGGCTTCATTCATTGCCGGACGCTGGATCTACCAACGGTATGTCGAAGTAAGAAGGCGCAGATGAAGAATGACTTTTTTGCTGTACAGATCATGTCCTGTCTTCGTTCATCGACAAGGCGTTGGGGGACGAAGCCACCTCATTGGACGATATTCAAGAAGACATCCATGGTAGCACTGGCAAGCCAATGCTGCCGCAGCATGTGACTTTCAACGGGGAGATGAACAAGGGCGTTGATCCTCTCACGGTGTTTGGGGTGTTTGACACCAGGACTGCGGCACAAATCTATCAGAAATAGCTTGTAAATCTTTGTATTCGAATTAGAGGCAGCGTGAAACACTTTCTACGACTTTCTCAATTCTGTAATGCTGACGACCGAGCGACAACCTCCTTGAAGCGTCGGGCTACCACGCTCCCCAGCCACTCTCCAAACACTTGATAGCCTGTCTCGTTGGGATGCACTCCATCTCCTGACATCACTCCTCCAAATCGTTCGTGCACCCTCCGCCACCATCGCACGCTTGGCTTGGGGACGAAAAGCATCGACGGGTTCTCCAAGCACAAGGCCTTCTGCGACTTGAGTTACATCAAGTTGCAAAAGGAGGAGGGATTACCTTCTGCTCATCAAAAACCTCTGAAATCAAAATTACAAATGATCGAAGCGGCTCTGGAAATCGCGTGGGCTCCATCGGCAGCGCAGGCAAAATGATCAAACAATCCTTACAACACAGGTCAAGTCGACATTTCACAAGACACCAGAATGACTCACAGGCCCCAAACATTCGCGCAGCTCCATTATGAAATTTTCAAGATCTCGCCGAAAAATAATAGCTGTCCTGCCCTTCCACAGCTTCTTGAAGTCGTTCAACCCACAAATAATCACACAAGCATCGATCCTCATGTCAGCTTGGCCCTCCCCGCTCGTCCGCCTGGAAGCGTCTGTTTCATTGGAGTTCGCATGACCGCTACTTGTGCTCGTTCGGTTCCCTCGCACGAGGCTTCTCACGCTGTCGATGGTGCTCTGATGAATCGTACGAGCGTCTCCTCCGTCAATCCCAAACGACCTCCATGCCACGTCCGACTTGAACCTCTGAGCGAACCCGCGAGCCAACGACTGGGAGATGACAGGAGCCGCGTTGCATCCTACTCCGACCACTAGCGAGTCACCGAGCACTATGATGCGTTTCATGGACGAGTGTCCTGGTTCACCGTCATAGTACTCAATACCGAAAGACCTGTCCTTCTTTGGGTGCGGCAATGGCTCGTAAGTGCCTTGCATGTACGCTGTCTGTGCTGCCACAATGCTTCCAAGTACGCTTGCGCCAGCAATGAAGGGATTAGTGGGATTGAACATCAGCTTGGTGAATCTTCGCATGAAACTCACATCGAGGTGCTCGATTGCTAGTCTTGTCTCTTCTGCCCTGTTCGTGGGCTGATCAGTCTGCGGGAGAGGAAGGCTGGTTTCCACTTCCATCTCGGTTTGAACTTCAACCATCCTGTCTTCCTTCGTTTAGCTGTTTGCAGTATACGGCGCCATCAAGGATGCGGCATGCTCTGCGCGATCCTGGAAAAAATGTTCAGTGTTGCAGTTACAAGTCGGTAGCGTTGAATTCAACCCTGCTAAACGAGGACGAACCCCTTCAAACAGAAACTGAATATACAAGCCAGCTGCATCTCGGAATATTCGTTTCAACTAATGGAAAGGAGGTTTAGCTTGTGCCCGATGGCAATTCTAGCTTGGATTGAATCCGTCTTTGACTAGTCTCACCATTAGCATCTGCTTCTTCTTTCTGCGAGAAGTTTACAACTACCTTCCCTACATACTCCTCATTCCTATGATCATCATAATCAAACGACCCCGTCTCTTCGCTTCTTCGCCTCGTTCTGCTATCTGGATCCTTGCCCGCGCTTCATCGCCAGTTCGTTTCGCATTTAGCCATTTTCAACCCCACCCTATCTCAATCTCATTGTCACCCCACCCCATCGGATTTTCTACGATCTCACCCCCTCTTTTACCATCGACTACCCTACCTTTCCTAGGACCTTTCAAGACGCCGAGTCGTCACAACCCCTTCCTACCCCCAGCTTACCCTACCCATCCCACAAGTCGTAAACTATGCAGTTAGATACCCCTACCCTACCTACAGAAGCGTGAGGCCAGATCTGTATCATGGCCATCTATCACCCCACCTTATCGCTTCAAAATCACCCCATTCTTCGAGCATTTCAGTTACACTACCCGTACTTCAATAGTTACCTTTTCCCACCACCCCTAGTTTTCTACCCACCCCTTTGCTGCATTTGGTCAGATTTTTCGCGTGACCCATCCGCTTTTGACCACCCCACCCCCTCTTCTTATACTTTATCACCGGTTGACATCCTCGATAAAGTTACAAGACTACCCGTCACCTGCACCAAGATTTTCAAGGGACCCCACCCCCCTCTTGACTTCCTACTTACAACCATTTATAGAATCTGGACAGCATGCCCTAGTAGTGTTCCAGAGGTGTTATAGATATAGATGAAAGTCCAGATCTAGATCAAATAAGGTTTGGAGGGAGGAGGGCACGTGCAAAAATGGAGCATGAATGGAGGAGAGGGAGAGGGAGAGGGAGAGGGAGAGGGAGAGGGAGAGGGAGAGGGAGAGGGAGAGGGAGAGGGAGAGGGAGAGGGGAGAGGGAGAGGGAGAGGGAGAGGGAGAGGGAGGAGGGAGGAGGGAGGAGGGAGGAGGGAGGAGGGAGGAGGGAGGAGGGAGGAGGGAGGAGGGAGGAGGGAGGAGGGAGGAGGGAGGAGGGAGGAGGGAGGAGGGAGGAGGGAGGAGGGAGGAGGGAGGAGGGAGGA